GGAATCAAGGCCGATGGGATGAGGCGGAGCAGCTCGAGGTGCAGGTCTTGGAGACTCGAAAGACAAAGCTTGGCGGTGACCACCCTGACACGCTGGCGAGTATGGCCGACCTCGCTTTCACTTGGAAATCTTCAGGCCATGATGACCCAGCTTTGGATTTACTACGAGCTTGCCTGGCCAAGCAGAGGCAAATCCTTGGGCTCAATCATCCCGTCACTGTATCTAATTCGCAAACTTTGCTGGAGTGGGAAACAGAGATGTGAAATATGTAGGTACAGCAGGTTAGTAAGAGATCTGGATATAATATCTTTCCTTCACATCGGACAGTGTCTCGTCGTGTGATTTAATAAGCTAGTCTGCAATCAAAAAGGATATTGTTAATTCTGGTAGGCATTGGTGACGAGTGTTGGAGGCCTCGTACGAGGAGGTCCTACGGCTAGTGACAATCTTACAGGAACAGCAAATAGCTACGTGGCTTCCAGTTTGGAAAGCCAAGAAAGTCTAGATCCTCTGTCTCGTCCGTTACCGATAAGATTTATAGCTCACGGCCTGGTGATTCATCATGTACTTGAGTAGTTATTACCTGCATATCCCTTATTGCAAGGGGTCAGCGTATAAAATACACACACGCTGATACTGTAATGTGCGCCTGCCAACCATCTTATGAACTGCATGGCCCAGGTACGTGGATGACATAAAGGGAAAGTTCATGACACATGGCGTCCATGGAGGGACTGAGACCAGGAGATTGTTGGTCGCCGAACGCAATCCCATGGTCTTCCATGGTCATCTTTCGCACTTATGCACAGCCGACTTTTTACAAAATTACACAATAATTTATGCATACATAACCATCGGGTTCCATTCCCCATCTCGCGGATCAGGAACGTGGCGCTTCCCTTATGAGATCTAATCGCAGACCAGGGGATGAGACTTATGTTCTTAGACATATTTTTGAGGAAAGGCTGATGGCATCGTCCGTACCGATTGCCTCAAGATGTAAACTCATTTGCTCTGGACCTAAGCACATCAGGTTAGCTTGAACTGTCCACGTGGGAGCGGAGACGCTTGACTTGTAACCACGAAGTGAGCGGAGATAACCGCACCTGGCGCTGTAGCGTAAGCCGGTGGGGATTGAGTCGTTTGACTATTGCTTGCGAATAGCTTCTGTTGTAATCTATCCAAGTCCAACGCAGCCATAACCCGCGAACGTCAACGTGAGCACAGGGAGAGAATGGCGCCTCGGAAATGGCCTTTCGGCAGGGCGTGGGTGGCTGGCTGACGACCACGACCCCTGCCGCTTGTAAGTTCCTCAACCTCTTATGGCTTAAATAACAAAGGCACTTTCCCTCCTTTCAATTCCCAGCCCATCTCCACGGTTTCACTAACTGATCTCTTGACTAGACCTCATCAGAAGGCGATTATTTGGTTTGACGATGGCCGATTCTCCTAGCGGTCTCGCACACAAAAAGAAACATTACATATCCGGACGCCTGAAGGATATCTTACCGGAACGAAACAAAAACAAAGACACACGCCCAGCTACCCCCAGATCCAATCACTCCAAAGTCCGCCAAACCCCCAGGCGTGAACAGCGACCCAGCCAAGTCCCAAGCTGGTAATTCTAAAACCAACAACTACAATGCAAGGGATCGCTGGCAGATGGCGGGCGACGCTCTAGGTGAAAGCGACCAGGTCACACTGGTAACTCTTTCCCTGTAATGGCAACCGAGCCTCAGGATGCTGGTCGAGCACGGACTGGAGAGATACTCGACCAGATAGTCAAGGCGACAGATACGCAGTACAAGGAGGATCCACGATATAATGGCACTAGGGCAACAGCCCATAAAATATTGAACTGTGTGCTTTCGTTTCAAAATGTTGTTGACAATGCGGTGAAATTCGCTCCGACCGGGTACGCTTCAAGTGCTTGGGGCGATAGTCTCTCTCGGATTGACGGTAGGTCATCTCACTGAGGAAACCAAACATAAGCTAATGACCTAGATGACCAAGAACCATGCGGACTTACGAGACGCCCTGCTTGACTCCTCCGAGTATCTGGCGGATCTGTTGGCTCGTTGTACCTTTATTGAAGCCCAGTTCTATCGCGAAGTCGAGGCAGCCATAACAAATATCGAAAAAGAAAAATCGATGATTCGGGTCTATGTGGCAATACTACAACAATATGCTGAAGCGCGCAGGCTCAGCAATTTGGCATCGGGGGACACATTGTGAAGAGTATAGCGGCTGTAGCGAGCCAGCAACTTGCACAGCTCAAGACTTCGACCAAGGGGGAGGAGTCCCATCTACATCACGGGCTGCTCCTCAATCAGCATCACCACCAAAAAGCCGAGGCAGAAGCCATTCTCACTCAGATCGACAATCTGGTGATGAAAATTGAAAAAGTGGAGCGAGCAGTTGACATGTTGAATCTACCTTTTGCTGATGGTGCATTTTTTGACTCCTCTAAGGACCAACATAAGGATGAATGTCTTCCTGGGACGCGAGAAGCATTGCTTCAACAAGTGAAGGACTGGGGAAGGCCAAGTGACAAAGCCTGGGACCGGCAAGTCTACTATTGCGAGGACGGTAGCTCGACCGTTTAAGGAAAATAGTATCCTCGGAACAACTTTTTTTCTTCCAGAAGAGGCGAGGGAGATAGGGGCTCAGCTGAAAATTTATTCCGAACAATTGTGGCGCAATTAGCAGTCCACATTCCTCAAATAATCGTCGGCATCCGAAAAGCCATAGATGATGATTCTGCGATTGCGGGAAAATCGTTTCGAGAGCAGTTTGATAAGCCTATGTACCGCAGCCGTTACTCGCCGTGTATCAGAGGCAATCAAGTACTTTCCCAGTGGTTGTCATCGACGCCCTAGATGAGTGCGAGCAGGAGGAAGGCGCGGCAGTCATCCTCGAACTTTTACCAAAGGTCGAGAGGGCAACATGCCTGAGGGTCCCATTTTTCTTGACAAGCCGGCCAGAGTCACCCATTGGCTTCGGATTTGATCAAATTGATCAGAGCGATAATCAGAATACGAACTTACAGAACTTGGATCATGAAGTTATAAAGCACGACGTTACTCTATATCTCAAAGAAGGATTCTACCGAATCAGACAAGAGCGTCATCATGATCTTCCTTCCGATTGGCCTGGTGCGGCGAGAATTGACGGTCTGGTTGCGATGGCTGTTCCACTGTTCATCTTCGCAGCAACAGTGTGTCATTTTGTGACTGATAAAAGATGGAACCCGGAAAGACGACTGCAGCAATTCTTCGAGGATTCGCCCGGATTCAAGATGGACAAAACATACCGACCCAATCTTAAATCAACTGCTCGCCGAGGATGAAAGCGACACGGTGAAGGTCAACAATTCAATCTATCTCAACACAGCTACTGGTACCCCTACTGAGAATGATCTCAACGCCAATCTTGACGCTCCGGACAGCTCTGACAGTCCTGGGGATAGTGTCTTGCTGGAGAGCAACATGTCAAGTACTAACCCCAGATTCGAGGAACAGTAATACTAGCATCAAGTCTTTAAATCGGCGAAATAAACCACATTGGCACCGGGAACTTTCCCGGAAGGAGAGATCTGATCAACTCTCAAGAGCTCGACAGGCCAGGATATTACGAATTCCTTCGTGGTGACAAAGAGCGGTTTTAAAAGTTTCAAGTGTTTTCATCAGCGCGAGTTCGCGAAATTCAAGGCACATATTGCTCGAGTATTGGGTTGAGATGGCTGTCAAGGTTTTGCCTCCTTGCTTATACGCCTGTACTTTCGCTGAATATGTAACTACTACTGGTTTATGGAACTTCTTTTTGGTTCACATTGAATACCTGTTTTGTTTCCGTTGCACCTTGGCACAGTCGGAGCTTGGCTGACCCTCGAGCAAACCGAATACGATATCAACAGGGAGCATGGCAGTACGTCTGTCCTTTCTGGTGCTGTGTTCGGGTTATCCAGCCCTAACAAGCGCTTGTCAATAATACGCCTGTTGACCATCTGTACCTCCAAGGTTTCCGTTCTGCGCCATGCCTCGCGGCGCCCGCCGCTACTTCCTTTTTGAGGAATTTTGTTTCCCGCGATCTCCATGCCGGAGGCTCGCATCCCCTGCAGTACTCTCGCCATTGCTCGCTGGGAAGTGAAGAGTCCACTGTCATCATAGATATATTTCGTATCAGAAGACAGGGATCAATAGCAAACACTTCATTGATCTCTAGAGTCTGCAGCTAGTCAAGGCTAGAAGAGGCAAGAAAGGCTTCTCCTCGATTCCTCCCAGCCACATATCATACAGGTCCGTAGCTCTACCTCCCTTCGTGGTCCTCTGGTCATGAGCAAGGGCGGTCACACTACTTATTCTGCAAGAACTTAGTCTTGTCCACTAAAGTCTCAGGTAACGTTACATGGTATGTGTAAGCAAATGCTGCTCAGCAAACTGGAGTAGGCCGGAGCTGCTCTTTTGTCTCGTTCAGTTCCGCCTACTTCAGGTTTCTCTGCCGCGCTGGGCACAGACTCCCGCACCCTACCAGACTTTCAAGGCGTCGTTCTGGCTATCAGCGCCTGAGGCCTCAATGCCATGGCTTTTTTTCTTGGTAGCGCAAAGCATGGCATAATCATCTGAACGAGCTGAATGCGAAAGCGAGGGAGATAAATTAGACAGGAAAGAAGGTCTCCTCTTACCGCTCTCTGCATGTCGCTGTCGCAATTGCGTATCCTCTATGCTTCTGACCTCGCGGTTTCTGAATAACTCAGTTGTGCTGCTTATTCCGCCTTCACCAGCCTACTCCACTCACCCGAGCGGCGCCAGAATGCGAACGCAGGTTGCTCAGCATCATTCGCCCCTCGATCCGATTGACTCCATGATCGACTTCTTCTGCTTATGTTGATTGTTTTTATCCTTGTCTCTTTACTTCTACAAGGAACTGTCGCTTGCGTTTGGTGAAACAAGGAAAATCCCTTAAACGCTTGTCCTTGGTAGTTGTCGGCCAGTGGCTCTCACAAAACGATCAATGCCCCACAAGTAGCCTAAACAGAGACGAGCCAGGCTATAGTACTGTACAGTCCATGGCCTCTGTTGCCGTTTCCCCCACTCGATCAATCATTACCGAGCTACGCTAAGTATACTTGTAGCAATACATTCCCGACCGGCTGTCCATCACCTCGCCAACTCTTCGCTGCACATCTAACACCCCGAAATCCATTACGGTATCTAGCGTCACCAACGGCGCATCTGGGGGGTTATAAATCACCGCAGTCCCGTTCAGCGCGTCCCATCTCTTCGCGAAGTCCTCTTCCTGCCAGAGCGTCCAGACTCGATCGACCATGCCGTGGTGGAGGAAGAAGGTGGGGTCATGCGGGCTGGCGAACACATCCAGCATCGCTCCTCCAACGGTGCTGTGGCCGCCCCCATGCGACCCGATCTGCGTCGCGTTGCTAGGGTCCATGAGCGCCATGAAAGCGTCCATGTCTGGGGCAGCGAGAAGAAGATCAACGCGGAGCTGGTTGTTCAGAGTCTGGAGGGACTCGGGTCGAAAGTTGCGATTCAGGCAGCGCGGATTGTAGGCCCATGGGTCGGGTGGCAATGGTCCGTACGATTTGACCCAGTCACGGCTGAAGGGCCCAAGGTGTAGCGTCCAGTTCGCGAAGGGGCCTGCCCTGACGCAGCCACCCCCATTGCCGGGAGGCAGGCAGCCGTGAATGTTGGCGGGGCAAAGGGGAGGATGCTCGGCTGCCGAAGCATTGTACAGCCCGTTTCCGGAGAGAGAGGTTGGGCTGTTGTCAAATAGCGGACTGTTCAGGAGGTCTTCGGTGTAGAGCGGCCAGTTCCAGTATCTAATGCGAAGCGCGCGTCAGTCGGAATGCGTCCCGGTGGTTTCCCATCGATGAATTGCTCGTCGCAAAGACAAGGACATACGGTTGAGAACCAACGTAGCCGCATTCTTCCCGAATGGCCTTTTCCCAGAGGTAAGTGAGATGGCGGTGCCACGGAAGAAGCAGACCGTTGTTATGGACAAGCAGGGTGTTGTTGATGTGAGTGCTGAGTCGCGTCAGTGATGTCTGTTGGGTTGTCGATGAGCATCACTCACGAGACAAAGTCATCAATCCGATCGCGCACGCCCGGAAACTCATCGTTGGGCAGGTGTGACGGCCGACCTCGCATACACCAAAGAGCATCTATGTAGTCTGTCCGCTCGGTCGCGCTCATTTCCTGCCTTCAGAAGAGTCAGGAAAGCGGCTCAAATGATGACTGTGATGAACTGAAGTACCATTCTCGTCGGACCTGTGTGACTTCCGGGCGACATCGCGACTGGGGTACCGCGTAAGCAGTAGTAATAGCGACAAAAAGAATATTCAGGACGCGCATTTCAAGTGCAGTATCGATTGACCCCGACCAGAGGAGAATTCCCTGCGGACTACAAGAGACATGCAGCTCTTATATCTGCTGAGTTCAGAACAGAGACCTCGACATTGGGGTGCTGCGGGCAGACACAGCATGCAAGACATCGAGGCTTTGTCAGAGGCAATCAATCGGCTTTACGGTTTCAGTTCACATCTTGCTGAGTATGCTTTCCTCGCACCCAAAGCAAACAAGGTTTCAATTTTGACGATTATTCCCAATAGATGGGTGCGGCGCATATGATACATCAGTTCCGACCAAGATCCTCCGTCAATAACACTCGATACTATCGATGAAGGGGATTGGGTCGGAGGAGGTGTGTAACCCTGGGCTGAGAAGGGTGCTCCGTCCGGTGCATGCTATAGCACTGGTCACGGTAAGTGGAATATTCCAACATGCTGCTGTGAGTCGAAAGACTTACGTGAACAGCCGACACGACCTTGACAAGAATACTGTGCTAACCTCCCTGCATCAAGTCAATCTCTGGTCGGCACCATCCCGACTGGGCTCACTTACTCTTCTGAGAATTTCCAGCATTCGTTCAAAGGGACCTGCATCGAACGGCTACCCTCAGGTGTCTCATATCCGACCTGTCGATTCATCAGTGTACGATCATCGGGTTAGAGTTTTCTTGGAGCCCGACCGTGGTCGTGTCAATGGCGCTGCCTACCGCCGCGAGGAGCAGCGCGCCCAAGGTCAAAGACTTGATGGGAAACATGATGGCTTGAGGGAAGATGATAGGGGATGAGTCACCAAGGTTTGATATTTTGGGTACAACAAGACAGGTTACAAACAATCCTAGGCGCATCATCGGACACGTAGTATTTAAATTTTCGAGAGCGGCAAGCCCATTGTTGTGGTTTCATCGCGCAACGCATCCCTTGCGTCGATTCAGCTGCACATTCCAAGGTAAGAAGACCCTGGAAGGCCAGGGCGCTACAGCATCGATTCCCTGGATGCTCCAGCTGGTTGGCTATCTTCTGTCGGCTTTTGCATTTTCAAACTCTCAGGCTCTTTCTGAGCGCTGCATCCGAGGACTAGACTAGTTGATAATAAGCCTAGAGAGTTATCTACGCTTTATATGCTGTGTAAGAGTAGAAACAGGACTGTAAGAACGCTTTACTAGTTTCGTCAATCTGCTCAGCTTTTCCGAGCTCCCTGCAAACCGGGCAAACATCAACCAATTTGAGTGGGTCAGCCTTGCAGGACGCGTAACTAATTACCCCTCCTTCTCAAACCTCTTTAAGTTTCACCCAGCGTATGAATTATCAATATCTAGAGACGTTAATTTTGAAATCAGATCTATTCCTCTCCGGTTCTGGCAGCGCCGACGATGGCTTCCCTCACGCACGATGACTATACGGTCGCGTGGATCTGTGCTTTGCCTCTGGAGGCGGCCGCGGCCCGCGCCATGCTGGACAAAACCCACGCCCCACTTCCACAAACCGCCGATCCAAATGCCTACGAATTGGGCGAACTTAATGGCCATCACATAGTCATCGCCTACCTGCCAAATGGTGTATATGGAACAGTGTCTGCCGCAAATGTCGTATCTCGCATGCTTTTGACCTTTCCCCGGCTTCGGTTCGGGCTCATGGTAGGGGTTGGAGGAGGGGTTCCCAGCAAGAGCAATGACATTCGATTAGGCGATGTGGTTGTCAGCAAGCCAGGAGGAAAGCATGGTGGGGTCATACAGTATGATTATGGCAAGGCTGTTCAGGGTGGACAATTCGAGCCTACTGGTATCTTGAATCAACCACCACAGATTCTTTTGACGCATATGAGCCAACTTCAAGCAAAGCAGATGACGGGTGGCGAGAACGCGATTTCGAATTTGGTGAGTGAAGTACTGGAACAAAACCTCAATATGAATGAAAGATTCTCGCCTCCTGAAAGAGGCACAGATTACCTCTTTCATTCCTCCTACCACCATGCCGCAAAGGATCTTGATTGTGAGAAATGTGACAAAGAAAACTTAGTTACTCGACAGCCACGTACGATGGGGACACCATATATTCATTATGGATTGATTGCCTCTGGGGATCAGGTGATGAAGGACTCTGAAACGCGAGACCGCCTAGCCCAACAGCATGGAATACTCTGCTTCGAAATGGAGGCCGCAGGCCTCATGAACGAGCTTCCAACGCTTGTAATCCGAGGGATATGTGATTACTGCGATTCACACAAACAGAAACAGTGGCAAGGATTTGCAGCATTGACAGCAGCAGCTTATGCAAAACTTCTATTGTTGGTCGTACCAGCCTACCATACATATTCTAGCTCGTGGAAAAGCGATAACACGCGGCACTGGATGGTCTCTCTGCCAAGGAATCCAAAATTTATCGGTCGCCGGGATGAGATTGAAAAGCTGGAAGAACTCCTTGTCGCGCAGGACGGGCCTAAAAGGATAGCAATCACCGGCTTAGGAGGAGTTGGGAAGACACAAGTCGCCCTGGAATTAGCATACCGCCTGCGAGACCAAGATACGGAGTGTTCGATTTTCTGGGTTCCAAGTACCAGCCACGCAATCGTTGAGCAGTCATTCCTGAAGATCGCGGAAATACTTGGACTGTGCGAAGGCAAGCCGGCAGATATTAAAGAACAGGTCCAGACCTACCTTAGCTCTGAGCGTGCAGGGAAATGGCTCCTAATTTTTGACAATGCCGATGATACAGAAATGTGGCTATCAGACCATGACAGAAGTCCAGCTCTCGAGGACCTTCTTCCCCAAAGTGAGCAAGGCCGCATCCTATTCACGACCCGCAATCGGGAGCTTGCTGTGGAACTCACATATTCGAATATTGTTCCTGTGCCAGACTTGGATAAAGAAGCTGCGCGAAACATTTTTGAGAGTCTACTACTGCAAAAAAGCGTGCTGGAGGACAATAGCATCGCAGCTGCACTATTGGAACAGCTAGCATTTCTACCCTTGGCTATCGCGCAGGCAGCCACATATATCAACAAAAAACGCTTGGATCTGGCCGCCTACCTGAAACTCATTAAAAATGAGGAAGATGAGGCTGTGGAGCTTCTCAGTGAGGATTTCAGGGATCCAGGACGATACAAGGATATTGAAAATGCCGTGATTACCACATGGCTAGTATCTTTCAAACAGATTCAACATCAAGACCCGTTAGCGGCGGACTATCTGTCTTTCATAGCATGTATCAACCCGCGGAATGTCCCACAATCCCTTCTTCCCGCCCAACAATCAGAAAAAAAAAGCTCGATGCTCTAGGGCTCTTGGACGCATACTCCTTCACAACCCGCCAAGAGTCAGCAATAAATATGCACAGGCTAGTGCATATTGCGACTCGAAATTGGCTAAGAAAGAATAGATTGTTTAGTCACTGGATTCAAAGAGTGGCGGATCAACTGGAGACAGTCTTTCCAGATAACCACTATACAAATCGCAAACTCTGGAGACACTACCTTCCTCATGCTTTGGCGCTTGTGCATGATGATGAGTTTTTCCCAAAACAGGAAGACTATTTTAATCTTGTCCAGAACATTGCCGATTGCCTTGCTAGTGATGGAAGATATTCTGAGTCAGAGGTTCTTTATAAGAGACTCTTAGAAATCAACGAAAAAGGACAAGGACCCAAGCATCCTGATACTCTTACCAGCATAGCCAACCTGGCATCAACCTACAAGAACCAGGGCCGATGGGATGA